ACTAGAATTTACGAGGTTNGGAACACCAGAATTTACGAGGTTCGGCTAATTTTGCCTACTCCTCGGACACAACCAATATTTTATTCCACTCCAAAAATACAAGTGAAATAATACTAAAAGAGAGAAGATACAAATTCCTTAAGAAGATAAGAAAGCAAATGAGAGGTGTGTTTCAATCCTAAACATTAGGCCTTCTTTTATAAGTGAAATTTCCATAAACATTTTGCCCACAACCGATGTGGGACTTTGGCAATCAACAAATCTCCACCTTGCAAAATTTCACATCTTCAATTTTCTCTCAATAACAAATTTTGGTTGTGTCTTCATCTTCAATCTTCAGTGTTCAACAATGTTGATCAAATCCAAACAATGTTGAAACTTGACCGCAGTCACCACTTTTGCCAGCATATCAGCAGGATTTTCTGTAGTACGAATTTTCTTCACCGTGACTCCACCTTCTTCAATGATTTCTCGTACGAAATGATATCGAGCATCAATGTGCTTCGTCCTTGCATGATAAACTTGGTTCTTCGCTAATTGAATAGCACTTTAACTATGACCAAAAATTGTGATACTTTTTTGTTCAACACCAAGCTCCTTTAGCAACCGTTGAAGCCAAATTGCCTCCTTCACAACCTCTGTAATAGCCATGTACTCTGCCTCTGTTGTAGACAAAGCAACTGTTGACTGCAAAGTAGACTTCCAACTAACTGGTGCCTTTGCAAAAGTAAACACATAACCAGTAGTTGATCTTCGTTTGTCCAGATCACCCGCAAAATCTGAGTCACAATATCCAACTACAGACTGATTGTCTTCCTGCTCAAAAACTAACCCGACATCTACAGTATTATGAATATACCGTAGAATCCACTTCACAGCTTGCCAATGCTCCTTCCCTGGATTGTGCATATATCTGCTAATAACTCCAACAGCTTGTGAAATGTCAGGCCTTGTGCAAACCATTGCATACATCAAGCTACCAACAACATTTGCGTATGGTACCTTTGACATATACTCTCGTTCAGCTTCATCCATTGGCGACATAGTAGTACTTAGCTTAAAATGGGAAGCAAGTGGAGTACTAACTGGCTTAGTCTTGTCATCTATGCCAAAACGTTGAAGTACTCTCTTCAAATATTCCTTTTGAGATAAACAGAGTTTCTTTGAACGTCTATCTCTAATTATCTCCATGCCAAGAATTTTCTTTGCCTCACCCAAATCCTTCATCTCGAACTCCTTCTTCAGTTGAATCTTCAACTTATCAATTTCTTCCGAATTCTTGGAAGCTATCAACATATCATCAACATATAGGAGAAGATATACAAAGGAACCATCTTTAAGCTTGCGCAAATACACACAATGATCGTACTTGCTTCTCTTCTACCCTTGCCGCAACATAAACTTGTCAAATCTTTTGTACCATTGTCTATAAGATTGTTTCAATTTATACAACGATATTTCAAGTTTGCACACCATATTTTCCTTTCCAGCAACTTTGAATCCTTCTGGCTGAGTCATGTAGATTTCCTCCTCCAAGTTTCCATGTAAAAACGCAGTTTTTACATCCATCTGAACTAGTTCCAAATCCAATTGTGCTACCAAAGCCAACATAATTCTAATGGAGGAATGTTTTACAACTGGAGAAAACACTTCATTGTAATCAATTCCCTCCTTTTGAGCATATCCTTTGGCCACCAATCTTGCTTTGTAGCGAACATCTACTTGGTTAGGAAATCCTTCCTTCTTTGCAAATACCCATTTGCACCCAATTGCTTTCTTTCCCTTCGGGAGATTGGCCAATCTCCATGTATGATTCTGATGAAGGGACTGTATTTCATCATTCATGGCAATCCTCCACTTATCTTCTTTTGAACTTTTGGACTACATCTTTATAAGTGGTAGGAACATCATCAGCTACAATTGAGGTGACACAAGCAATTGTCTCTATGAGACGAACATGTTTTGTTATTGTCCTTTTTGGCCTGCTGGTTGCTATTGATTCAAGTTGTTGTTGAGGTTCCTGAGTTGGAATCTCCCTCTCTACTGGCTCTTCTTCCAGAGGATAAACTTCATTTGTTTCCTCCTCTGCTTCTTGTATAGGAAAAATAAATTTTCCCTTAAACTCCACCTGCTTAGAAGCACCCTCATTTTGTTTGGAATCTTCTGTTACCTTATTTACCATAGCAGATTCATCAAAGGTAACATCCCTGCTGAATATTACTTTCTTTGTCATAGGACACCATAAGCGATATCCTTTGACTCCAGAAGTAATCCCCATAAAAATCGCCTTCTTTGCTATTGGATCTAATTTTGACTCTGTCACATGATAATATGCAGTTGAGCCAAACACGTGCAAAGAGTCATAATCTACAGCAGGCTTTCTATACCATTTTTCAAATGGTATCTTGTCATCAATAGCAGCAGATGGTAGATGATTAATGAGGTGACATGCATATGTAATTGCCTAAGCCCAAAATTCATTGCCCAAGCCAGCATTGGACAACATACACCGTACCTTCTCCAGCAAGGTCCGGNTTTCCTGGATTATGCATATATCTGCTAATAACTCCAACAGCTTGTGAAATGTCAGGTCTCGTGCAGACCATTGCATACATCAAGCTACCAACAACATTTGTGTATGGTACNTTGATCCTCCTGTCTGTTTGATTCTCCACCATCGTCTTCCATTTGAGAAAAATTCTCAGCACTTCATCTTTACTCTTCATTGTATAAACCTACACTCTTCGGGAAAAATCATCAACAAAGGTTATAAAATATTGCTTCCCACCCAATGAAGGTGTTTTGGAAGGACCCCAAATATCAGAGTGTACATAATCCAAAATACCTTTAGTATTATGGATTGTTGTACCAAATTTTACCCTTGTCTGTTTTCCTTTAACACAATGCTCACAAAACTCCAAGTTGCAAGTCTTTACTCCTTTTAACAATCCTTGATCTGATAGAGTTTTCAAGGATTTTCCTCCAGCATGTCCCAAGCGCATGTGCCATAGCCTGGTTACTTCTGCCTCTTTATCGTCACTGGACGTCACTGTCGGTGTCCCAATAACTCTACTACCGCGATAGCGGTACATGTTATTGTTCTTTCGATTAGCCTTCATTACCACTAGTGCACCAGAGCATACTCTCATCACTCTATTTTCTACAATAATTTTGAACCCTTTTGATTCTAGGGCTCCACAGAGATGAGATTCTTCTTCAAATCTGGTACATATCGAACATCTGTTAATGTTCTGATCATTCCATCATGGTTCCTTAATCGTATTGAACCGATGTCATATGAGGTAAGAGGGTTGTTATCCGCTGTGTGGATGACTCCATATTCTCCTTCTTGAAATTCCACAAACCAGTCCATGTTGGGACACATATGATAGCTACAAGCCGAATCCATTAACCATATGTTTGATGATGTTGATGACTCTGTTGTAACTAATGAGAAGTCTGAATCATCACAATCAGTTACATTTGAATCCATAATGGCCTTTACATTGTTATGTTTGGCCTTATTCTTCAACTTCGGATAGTCTTTCTTCTAGTGTCCCTTTTCTCGACAAAAGGCACATTCATCTTTGCTGGGTTTAGATCTTGACTTGGATCTTCCCTTCTTTGTCCTCATTTGATTTTGGGGACGACCCCTCACAACCAGTGCTTCTCCTTCTCCGCCCTTTTATTTTTCTCCCTTTCTTTGTTCATAACTGTACAAAGCCGAACAAACTTTTCTAAGAGAAATTTCGTTATTCTCATGGAGTAGAGTAGCTTCAAGGTGCTCGTACTCATCAGAAAGTGACCCCAATAACATCAAGGCCAAGTCACCATCATCACAAGTTGCATCCATATTTTGCAAGTCTGTGACCAACTTATTGAAACTGGTGATATGTTCGTTCATTGTGGTACCAGGAACATAGGTGAAGCGAAACAGTCTCTTCTTCATGTACAATTTATTTTGATTATTTTTCTTCAAAAATTTATCCTCCGGTGTTTTCCATAATTTACTTGCAGAAGTTTCCTTTGTGTATGGATATTTCTGCTCTACTCTCTAGCAAGGTAGGATCGAATGGTATCGCAAGCAACACGGCTGATAATTCTCTAATCTTTTTCTCCAATAACATCTGGTCTTTTTTCTTCAATGGCAAGATCTAGCCCTTGTTGAAAAAGGACATCTAGTACCTCGCCTTGCCACATCCCAAAATGTCCTGATCTATCAAAAATTTCTACCGCAAATTTCGCATTTGACACAATTCTTGTCATAAGTGAAGATGTCAACGATGACGTATTATTGACACTTGATATAGATTCTTCTTGTTTATTATCTCCCATTTTGACACAAATATTATTTAATAGCTGACGACACAAATCAAGATTATTTCCTTTCTGATGTGGAAGATCAGACTAAGCTGCAACCACAGAGCATACTAAGACAGAACCTTGACACAGTTACCAAGATAAATCTTTTCTGATGTGGAAGATCAGACTATGCTGCAACCACAGAGCATACTTAAACAGTACCTTGGCACTGATACCAATTGTTGAGGAAGCCAAATGTATATAGTGTGAATGAGTCACAACTACTATACCAAAAATTATGGCAGCCACCAAATAATAAATAAGACAATAAAACAACAATAAAAAGAACACTAGAATTTACGAGGTTCGACCAATTTTGCCTACTTCCTCGGACACAACCAATATTTTATTCCACTCCAAAAATACAAGTGAAATAATACTAAAAGAGAGAAGATACAAATGTCTTAAGAAGATACTAAAGCAAATGAGGTGTGTTTCAATCTTAAACATTAGGCCTCCTTTTATAGGTGAAATTTTCATAAACACTTTGCCCACAACCGATGTGGGACTTTGGCAATCAATGAAACAATACATTTTCCCTCTATTTTAGACCTTACACTTGTCCATATAAAAACTTGTCGTGACCGCAGCATAAGTACTAGAATTCTTTTAGCACTTAGCTACGCCTGGATTTCCATATCTATCAAAGACCCTTTGGCCTCACAAGCTGGAAATATGTCTTTATTGCATCAAAAACAAGAACATGACTTCACCCAAAACTGGATATATATCACATGCTTAGAGATAAAGATTATAAACTACTTCATTTTGAGGTATTAGAACCGCTTGAACAATATTCCCCGTAAACATGATTCTAGCACTGTTAAACGAGCTTGGTCTTGCACCTCTCACCATTTTAATTTTGTCACTGACTATCCTATGGTACTCAAATATATCACAGAACGAAAAATCCAGGTTGCTACCAGGGCCTCGTGGTCTACCAATCGTGGGATTTTTACCATTTCTCCGCTCCAATTTTCATAACCAGCTTACAGAATTGTCTCAACAGTATGGTCCAATATACAAGTTTTGGCTAGGAAGTAGACTATGCATTGTGTTGAACTCAGCATCCTTAGCCAAAGAAGTGGTTTGTGATCAAGACTCTATTTTTGCCAACCGTGACTCTCCAATAGCAGGATTGGCAGCCACATATGGTGGACTAGACATTGTATTTTCTCCCTATGGCTCCTACTGGCGTGACATACGCAAACTCTTTGTGAGGGAGATGCTAAGTAATAGGAACCTTGAGGCTTGTTATAGTCATCGCAAACATGAGATCAGAAAGGCAATCAGGAGCGTGCATACGAAGATTGGCAACCCCGTTGATATTGGTAAATTGGCTTTTGTAACTGAAATTAATGTAGTCATTAGTATGGTCTTTGGCAGCAATTTTGTTGAGGAGATGGAGAAGCATGGAACTGTTGGAGCAGAGTTTAGGGAATTGGTGACAAAAATTCCTCAACTGATTGGAGAGCCAAACATATCTGATTTCTTCCCTATGCTTGCCAGGTTTGATTTACAAGGAATAAAGAAACAGATGGAGGCTCTTTTGAAGTCAGTTGAAAGTATATTGGAACCTGTCATAAACGAACGAATAAAGATGCTTTCGGACAAAAGAAAGGGTGAAATCCAGGGGAATGAGAAGAAGGATTTTATACAGATCCTATTAGAGCTAATGGAGCAGAAAGACACAGGAACACCAGTGGACTTGCTGAAAATAAAGGCCATATTGGTGGTAAGTTATAGAGTCCCTATATATATTTTGTATAGCATTGCCTGTCTTGTTCTGCCTTAAACTTGTAACAGAAATCAGTTGAGGATTAACTAAGATGACTAATCAATTCTTGAATAATATTGAATGCCATTTGAATCAAACATCATCAAATTCTATCCCCTGACTTCATATATGTTTTTGCATTGTAGGACATTGTGATAGGTGGGACTGACACTACAATCACTATGGTCGAGTGGGTAATGAGCGAGCTTCTGAATAATCCAGAGATAATGGCAAAGGTGCAACAAGAATTGAAACATGTCATAGGCATGAATAACATTGTTGAAGAATCCCATTTGCCAAAACTACACTATCTTGATGCAGTTTTAAAGGAGACGCTACGTCTACACCCTGCATTACCACTACTTCTCCCTAAGCGCCCGAGCCAATCTGCAACAGTAGGTGGATACACAATACCTGAGGGAACTAAAGTATTCTTGAATGTTTATGCAATTCATAGAGATCCTCAAGTGTGGGAAAATCCGACTAAATTCCAGCCTGAAAGATTCTTGAGTCAATCTACAAATTTAAACTATACTGGCAATAATTTCAAGTACCTTCCATTTGGATCAGGGCGGAGAATTTGTGCTGGCCTTCCTTTAGCTGAGAAAATGCTTATGTTTGTATTGGCCTCATTGTTGCATTCCTTTGATTGGAAACTCCAGGAGGGGGAAAAGCTTGATCTTTCAGAAGGACATGGGATTGTCATTAAGAAAAACAAGCGGCTTTTCGCCATCCCTACGCCCAGGTTACCAAATTTAGAACTGTATCAGTAAATTATCAGGAAGATGTAATATAGACTCTGAAGGAAGGGGCTAGACGTCACATCGTTTTGCCCACTGGTTATTGTATTTATAAGATCAAATACAATAATGTAAAATAAGAGATGTGATACCACTAATGTACACTAGTATTTTGAAATAAAATATGTATAATAGTTAGAATCGTGTTATCAAAGTATGATAACTTCATAGTATTTTATTACAGCCATTCTGGAATTTACCATGGCTATCTGTTGCTTCACTTGTTCAAAGTTGCAAATGCTTTGACTCCACAGTATCATATGAAATTAGCCTGTATCTATTGTTGCGGAAGCCAAATGTATATAGTGTGAATAAGTCACAACTACTATACCAAAAAT